TTTCGCGAGCATTCATAATCGCTCTCGTGATTATTCGAGCCGTCGCGCAGTGTCCGTTCTTATGGGTGAAAAAATCGATATTTGAAATCTATTCAAGATAGCGACTTCGAATTTCACACGTATAAATTATATACACACACACGGAGAAAAATGTTTGGTTGAATTAACCAAATATCTGGTCGAATGTGAACGATCCAGAAATTCCGATTGATGTAATCCGAATTCTGTTTAAGTTAACAAGATTTTTGGTTGACTTAAGCAGAATTCGGATTACTTCAATCGGAATTTCTGGATCGTTCATATTCGATCAGATATTTGGTCAATTCAACCTTTTTTTCCGTGCAGAAAACAGTGTTTTCCTTATAGTCACTGGCCAGATTTGAAACAATTACGGCTCCTGGCCTCTCGCATTGTCTATCTCTTTTTAATGACGTCGGAAGCGAGAAAATGTATGCTAAAAATTCTTGCAAGATACATTGAAATAAAAATACATATCCATAAAATACATTTACAATCGATTAAACAAATTTATAAGATATTCCGTGCACTTCTTTTTTGCTCTAACAATCAATAATTTGTCGTAAATTAACATACAATTCATCTTTTCAACCTATTTCTACGCCTATTTCTATTCAGGTTAATTTACAATAAATTATCGATTGTTAGAGCAAAAGGAGAGTGCACGGAATATCTTACAAATTTGTTTAATCGATTGCAAGTGCTATTTTATAGATATATTCTTTTATTTTAACGTGTTTTGCAATTTTTAGCATGCATTTTCTCGCTTCTGACGTCATTAAAAAGAGATAGACAATGCGAGGAGGAAGGAGTTTTAAGATAGTGAGAGAGAAGAGGTTATATCAATTGCGGAACAAATGATGCACTATTTATTATTAAAATCAATAATCTATAATATTGTTATATTGTATGATTAATATTTTGCAAAACGAAAACTATAGTAAAATGAATTTATACTATATCAAAATGAAAACTGTAAATAGATAAGACAAGAAAACGAAAATTATTAATAAGAAAGTATTTTGTACTCTTTAAATTTCTTGAAGTGGAGTTTCAAGACGAGCGGAAAGTGGCGATATTTTCATCCGAAGCGATAGCGAAAATACCACTCCGAGACGAGTGAATATTTCACTTGAGCTTGGAATGGACTTCATACAAGTGAATGTTTTATTCGATTAAAGTGAACATGTTCCTGCGTGACGGTGGAGCGCATTGAATTCATTCTTCAATTTCGAGTAAAAATATTTACTTTTCCTAAAAAAAAAAGTTCTTTGCTAGGTGAGACAAGAAAACGAAAATTATTAATAAGAAAGTATTTTGTTCTCTTTAAATTTCTTGAAGTGGAGTTTTAAGACGAGCGGAAAGTGGCGATATTTTCATCCGAAGCGATAGCGAAAATACCACTCCGAGACGAGTGAATATTTCACTTGAGCTTGGAATGGACTTCATACAAGTGAATGTTTTATTCGATTAAAGTGAACATGTTCCTGCGTGACGGTGGAGCGCATTGAATTCATTCTTCAATTTCGAGTAAAAATATTTACTCTTCTTAAAAAAAAAAGTTCTTTGCTAAAGACAGCCATTACTTATGGAAGGAAAGAAGATAAAGTGAACATTCGCTTTTCTCAGTAAGTAGAACGATATTTTTCTGCGCGTATCTCTGGAATCGCGCGCGTCTTCGTGCGATTCCGCTGAAGCCCCGAGAGTTACGATTAACGCTGTCGCAACGACAATGCACGACATGCCATAATTCACGCGGCAAAAGCGCACGCGGACGCGAAAACTGTCAAGATAGAGATTCAAACGCCCATCACCGAGAGCATCGGGCTCTCTTTCTCTCGCTCTCTCATTCGCTCGAAGGTGACAGACCACCGTGAGCGTGAAACTGTAACCCAATAACCGGCGCCAGTGATTCTCAATCGTGGCGTCGAGAGAGAACGGGTAATAATAATCTCACGGGGAATTTGATTCCGCTCCGATGCATTTTGCCTGCGATCGAAATTAAAAAAAAAAAAAAAAAGAGAAAGATACGTCCGAGAGAGTGGCGAGAGTATGTGAATAAAAAGACCGCGGATTTCATTTTTGCACACCCCGAAAAAAGTGTCTCGCCGCGGTCCAGATAGAATTCTAAATATTACAGTTGAAATTTATCTTTAGCTGTTTTTTGGGTCCGCTGGGAAATTACTTGAGGCACGTAGAATTTGCAGCGGCAGCAGCATTCTGGCGATATCTGCGAGCAAAGTGAGCGTGTAGATTACACATTTGTTTGCTTGTCGTCGCTAATCTTTTTTGTGTACCATAGTCAATTTTTATAAGAAATATGACTGGCTTTAATCTGGATGGATATCAGAGAGAGAGAGAAAGAGAGACAGACTTTCTTGCTAAATTTCACAAATAGTTCATATAGAAATTCTGTCTCTGTCATCTATATTGATTAAATGTAAAACATATTCGATATCGCAGTATTTGCTAGTCATTTATCCATCTTAGCTAATTTCTCGTATCTAGCACTTTCGCTATGACTGCAAGATCATTTTTTTCCGTGACAAAAAGTGCGACTAGCCTTAATCTGGATGGCCGTCACAGAAAGAAACTTTCTAGCTAAATTTTACAAATAGTCCCGACGGAAATTCTGTCATCTATATTAATTCAACGCGACGAAACATACGCTGTAACGCAATGTTTGCCAATTATCCATCTTGGTTGATTTCTCTCGTGTCAAAATAATTTTCGCCGCGCAAGACTTTTTTTTTTTGAGCACACGGCTTGGCTGCGACGCGAACTTGTCGAAATCACGTAAGCTACCTACCGGTTTTTCGATCCTCGTTCTCGTCTTCCTCCTGGAAAGCGTGCCCCGCTTAATCGATGTTACATCGATGATCAGCGCTACACCGATCGGCGGTTATTACCGATTACTCGACCTCGCAATTACGTTACCGTTATAATCGGTAATTCGACGCGTTATTTCTCTCTCTCTTAAGCTCGTACACACCGAGTGCGCTCGGCCATTTTTTCTCGAAACAATCTCTCTCTTTCCCCTTCTCTCTCTCTCTCTCTCTGCCTATTTGCCGCCGCCCTAGCCGTCGCGCGCTTGTTTGTCCCCTGCCAATATTTGTCGATGGGAATAACAGCGCGCCGACCATTCCGTCGGAGCTATATTCGATTAATCGGTCGCAGATATGTCGTTCGCTTGATAACGAACGGCGGTTCTGTCTAATCGAAGTATTTGCGGTAAGGCGATACCTCAGCAAGAGACCCCGGACGAACTTCCGGATAATGTAGCGGCGGGCAAATGGAATTTCTCACGATATTCCATGAGCGAGCGCTCTCGCGCGAGAGGAAAGAATTCTGTCGGCCTCTCTCTCTCCCCTCCCTTTCTCTCTCTCTCTCTCTCTCTAACGCTCGACCTCGACCTTGAGTCTACTGAATTATGAGTGAGGACGTCAGATGCGTATGCATTCCGCTACTTCTTCCAATGACGTCGGCTCCTCTTTGCGGACGTTGTCCGCGTCGCGCTCATCTCCAGAGATATCCCCGGAACGTGGATCATAGCGTTTTGCGCTTTACAATTCCCCGGGTATCGCCGCTCTCGGGAGATAATGCACGCGCGAGATCGTAAAATGCTTAACACGTGAGAAGGTCCGTGCTTGGAGTATGAAAAATAAATAAAGGAAGAAAGGGGAAGAGAAGAGGGAGGGGAAACGCGCACAGAGAGCGCGCGATTAGGTTCCTCCGGGAAAAACGCCGAGACCTGAATACCCGGGAGTTTTTGCGAAGATCGACGAGCAAAGGTCGCGCGCGCGAGTGCCTTTCAACGCTCGCGATTAATGCAGAATGTCGGAATAATGTCTCGGCCGTGCATTGCGCGCGCGCGCGCGCGCGTTCAGCAACAAAAAAGAAAGAGCGTAGAACTGACGACTGCCGATAGAATTTCAGTTTATCACGCGGTCGTTCTTGGCACCGTGATGATAAATAAAATCCTTCGGTTCCACCTGGAAACCTTCCTCGGATCGTAATGGAAAGTCCTTCTCCCGAGCTGTCTCGGTGGTATTTACCGCGAGCCGACAAATATCGAGAGGAGAGGTAGGTGCGCCTTCGAGAAGGAAGAATAGTCTCCTCCGTGCGATCTCTCGCCTTGCCGCCCATAAAAAAGTCCCGCGAGCGCAAGCTTTTTTATTTCTTTCCCTTTACTTCTCCTCTCCTTTCCCCTCTCTGTCTGCTTCTCTCTCTCTCTCTCTCTCTCTCTCTCTCTCTCTCTCTCGATTTCGTACGACATTAAATCGTCTCGTATCGCGACGCGATCGCATAAGGGCACGAGACCACACCAGGGAGAAGGACAGAAACAAAGAGAGAATTCAGGCATTCGGGCGTCTCGCCAGGCAGAGGCGAGGAGAGGGAGGTTGGCGGGCAAGCAGGCAGGGCAGGCAGGCAGGGGGTGCCCCTATGTATAGGGTGGACGACCCTTTGTTCGACGACGCTCCCTCTTCCTCCGCGAAGAGGGAGAGAGAGAGAGAGAGAGAGAGAGATAGCCGGTCTTCCCTCCGAGTCTCGGCGGGGCCGATGCGGTTCCTCTTCCTTCTCTCCGCCCTTTTAACATCTACACCCCCTAACTAACGCGCGTTGTGCACGAATGGATCACGAAACATGCCAGGCAGGCAGAGGCAGGTCGGGCGGGGGCCGAAATTTGATAGTGCGATGTAACGCCGCTGCTAACAGGGGGTGGATGTACCGTCGTGCGATCGTTAAATGTGTCCCCCTTCGGCCATCGGGGCGAAACTCACCCCATCCGGGCGATTCTTATCCGGGAGACTCGCGCTCGTTGTTCCGCCTGACAAATTGAATTCGGATGCAGATAACGGACTGGAGATCCTCGTTGTTGTCGCGCACAGGTCGTGATCGCGACGAAATGGGGGAGTGGAGCGGTATTGTTTCTTTCGTCGTTGTTAATTGATCCCCCGTCTAACTGGGGCTGTTTGTTGCAGTGCACGCGGGGGGCTTGGACTTCATCATCGAGCCGCAGGACGTGGTGGTCGAGCAGGGTGGTCCCGCGAGATTGGACTGCGAGGCGAAGAGCGTGTTCGGGACGCCGAGCATACAATGGCGGACGGACGACGGTCAGCCGATCACGTTTATCGGAGACAGTTATCGGTAAAAAGCGTAATTATGTGTCGCTGAGATTCAGAGAGAGAGAGAGAGAGAGAGAGACTTTCTTCTCTCATCTCTTGCGATGTGTCCCTTCCCGGCTATCAGATCTGAAAGGAGCTTTCCCGATTTTCATTTGTAGATCACAGCTAGCGAATGGGTCCTTGTACATAAATAGCGTATACGCCGGTAGTGCAGAATTAACTGGAAGTTATCAGTGTTTAGCCTCCATAGATAATGTCGGAGCGATTGTCTCCCGGACAGCCACGATCAAGCTAGCAAGTTAGTATCTAGATACAGATCTTTAGTACGTAATCGCGCTTGAAATATGTCTGCGAGGTACACGGTGTCTCGGAGAAAAAGTAACGCTAAATCGCACTTCAGACATTGCGTGTAGCGTATTCGTAAAGTTTTCGAGATTCCTCGAGGAATAGGCGAGCGCGCCGTAATGTAAAGATCAACTTTCTTCGAAGGTCTGCCCGGCTTCGAGAGGGAACCTCAGGATACGATGGTTTATGCAGGGCAGATCGCGTATTTGAGTTGCGCCCTGCCCGCTTCCTCGAGTTTGCTGAAAGTGCAGTGGTTGAAGAACGAGCATCCGTTAGTACTCGAGACAAGTCGGATGACGATCTTACCGTCAGGTACGGCGACGTTGCTCGAGTCAATTAGACGTCAATTTAATTTGTCTCGCTGATCACTTTTCTCGCAGGCGCTCTGGAGATCGACGATGTTCAGTATCACGACTTTGGTTCGTACAGATGTAACGCCAGCGGCTATGGCCAATACAGACTGAGCAACAAAGCACAATTAGGATTACTGTCTAGCGACATCGGTGAGTTCTCGTTTATACGAAGTGATATTTGGATATCCGGCAAAATAGTGAAGCTAGAGAAATCGTCATACCTGTGTGTGTGTCTCGATTGTGCAGATGAGGGATCTAGCGCTCCAGTATTCATCGCACAACCTTTGCAACAGACAGCTGTCGAAGGATCCGACGTGACTCTCGAGTGTGCCGCCAATGGTTATCCAAAACCGACAATCTTATGGCTGAAGGACGGCGTTGCTCTCGATCTGGCGTCACTTGATTCTAGGTATCGGATAAAGCTGGCTACGCACACTTTTCGTAACAGTAATCGTAAGACGTAACGTAAGAATTGCGATCGAGTATTCATAAAAATGGCGACCTTACAATTCGACGATTCTCAACATGATTGGTCAATTCTTACATTACCAGGTATGTAAATATAAAACCGGAATTTTTACATAGAAAATACACGTTTATTGTATGAAAATGATAAAAAATATTTTATTCGAAGTATTGCCCATCGCTAGCTATACATTTTTCCCACCTGTCTGACAATTTGTGGATGCCACGCCAAAAAAACTGTTGCTCTTTTGAGGCAAACCAGTCATCGAGCCATTTTCGTACATTTTCGTAAGAAGTGAAGCGCTGCTTAGCAAGTGCGTGTCCCATCGATGCAAATAAATAGTAATCGGACGGAGCCAAGTCTGGTGAGTAAGCCGCATGCGAAAGTATTTCCCAACTAAACGCCTCAATTGTTTCCTTGAGGAAACCAGTTTTGCTGTGTGTGATGGTGTATTATCATGAAGCAAAATCACTTTGTGTTGCCTTTTTTTATATTTTGGTCGTTTTGCACGCAAAGCTTGATTCAAATCGATCATTTGTAGTCGGTAGCGTTCAGTATTAACGGTTTGGCCAGGTTTTAGCAGCTCATAATAGATCACACCCTTCTGATCCTACCAAACACAGAGCATTGTCTTCCGTCCATAGCGATTTGGCCTTACAGTCGATGTCGATGGTTCGCCTGGAGTTACCCATGATCTTTTACGTTTAGGATTCTCAAAATATATCCACTTTTCATCGCCAGTCACAATTCGATGGAGAAATGACTTTCTTTTGTACCTGGCGAGCAGCATTTCGCATGTGGTTTTTCGGTTTTCCTGCTGTCTTTCATTCAGTTCATGTGGAACCCATTTTCCCATCTTCTGGATCTTTTCCATGGCTTTCCAACGTATGGAGGCGGTTTCTCGTGTCACATTTAATTGATCCGCGAGTTGTTGTTGCGTTTGAGTGTCATCCTCATCCAACAATGTAATTCGCTGCCTTCAAACTTTTTCGGTGGTCTTCCACGTTCTTCGTTTCTCACGTCAAAATCGCCACTTTTGAATTTTTTAAACCACTCAAAGTACTGTGATTTACCAAGAGCATGCTCACCGTAAGCTTCGACAAGCATTCGATGCGATTCTGCAGCAGTTTTCTTCAAATGGTAACAGAAAATCAATGCTGTCCGCAAATCGTAGTTTCCAGGCACAAAATTCGACATGTCCAACGCTATTACAAACTATGCTGTTGTATGAAACTTGTATTGTTGTGAGTTGAAAATCTTTGTCAGAGATGTCAACAAGGAAATGGCGCCAATGACGCGGTTTGACGGTAACTACATTGACAGCTAGGGCCATCTATGGGCAAATTCCGGTTTCATATTTACAGACCTGGTACGTCTTACGGTTACTGTTATGAAAAGTGTGTGTTGCCAGCTTAATTCGGAATAATGGCCCGCTCGAGTGGGATAAATGTGGATATTAACGATGAGTATGTTTCTTCAAGATATCGGAAACTCGCGGCTTCTAGTCTCACGATCATGAACGTCAGGGAATCCGACCATGGTTCGTATCAGTGTCGTGCGGAGAACGAAGTCGAATCATTAGACGCAGTCGCCGAGCTGATTGTGCAAGGTGAGCCTGGGACGCGGGTAAAATTATTCATACGCGATTCACAAAGCTGGCGAGGCTTTCATGCTGATTAAATGGATCCTTAGTTCCGCCGAAATTCACAAAGAAGCCGGAGGACAAGGTGGCGAGTGAGAATCAAGATTTGGAATTTGAGTGCGAGATCTACGGAAAACCGGAACCGAAAATCACCTGGCTGAAGAACGGCGAACGCATCACATTTAGCGCGTATTGGCAGATCGTCAATGGGTGTGTACATCTTTGAAGTTTTGTATCTTGCGAAAGTAATCTCGTGATCTGTAACTGTCACAAGTAATGGCTCCTGCACACAGGACGCGGTAATGCTTGCCGCGCGACGGAAGTTCGCACGACAGCCAATCAATATGCTGCTTTCCATAATAACCTTCTAGCTCTTACGGAAAAACAACATATTTATTGGCTGTCGTGCGAACTTCCGCCGCGTGGCAAACATTACCGCGTTCTATGTGCAGGAGCCATAACCCTTTGATTTTTCCGTCCGCAGAAACAATCTGAGAATCAACGGGCTGTTGCCGATAGACGCGGGTATCTTCCAGTGCATAGGGATGAATCCTGCTGGTAGCGTCCAAGCGGCAGCGCGTCTCACGATTAATCAGCCCAGTGAGTCTTACGATGATATTGCAGCGTGCATTCGTATTCCTCGTTGATATTGATCGGCCGACAAATGTCGTTTATGAACAGCGTTTCGTTTCCTTACACTTGTTTCACGTACTTTTTTTTTATTGATGCTTTTTAGTAATTTTTTTTTAAGACTCGAACTTACTTTTTTTTACTAATTTCTACATTTCGTTATTTATACATTCTTTTCTGTATTTCAGTTTTTAATTTTGTCTTTATTTATTTTCTTCCCTCTCGCGTTTCCTGCTGATTAACCGTTCTGCATGCTAACACCAGAGAGGACAAGCATTCACAGAATAACAACTCCAAAGACAATTCCTAAGAAAAAACTACTGCAATTGCACCGGCAGTTGTACAATAAAACCTGGCAGCATCCCAGCACACTCTTAGGACACACGTCGTCACTCACGCCGAATCCTTCGGTCTCGATAAGCTCCTCCGACGATCCATCGGACCTCCCGAGCCCTGTTAAATATCCTAATTCCCTTTACGACCCAGACTCCCGTTTTGTAGATGACACAGATACTCTGGAGGCGTTCGAGGGAGGTGTACCGTCCCCGCCGAGGAATCTGAGTCTCGTTATCGTTACCGCGAGATTCGTCACACTGCGTTGGCAAGAGCCAACAGAGAGTACGAACAGCGACTCCCTTAATTATTACATCCATTATAAACAGGAAGGGGGTGTGAGGTAATTATATTGTCTTTGGAGTGAATGGAAATGCGCATAATGGAATGAACCGAAATACGTGCAAGTGGATAGAGATATGCATAAATAAATTCATGTAGGAATACATACGAATAAATTTGCACAATAAGTTTATTTCTGTATATTTTCCTATTCACTCGTGTATACTTCTGTTTATTCTGTTGCGTGTATTTATGTTACGCCTCTATATTTTTAATTAATTGTTGTTTGCTCGCTTGCAGGGAGAGAGTCGTCAACACGCAACAGAAACTGGAGGCTATGATACGTGGTTTACAGCCCAGTATGACGTATCAGTTCCATGTGGTTGCGCAAAATGCTCGAGGAACCAGTGCGCCTAGTGAAGTATTACAAGTTACAACGCTGATAGAGGTAAGAGCGGCATGATATTGTTATAGTGGTAAAAACTATCGCGCGACTATCTCTTCATTTGTCTAAATATTTCGTGCAATCTCTCACACATAGGCCAATGTTCCTGGACCTCCAATGAACTTGGAAGGTCACGCGACGAGCAGCATGAGTATTACCTTATCATGGGAGGAACCACAAATTATTAATGGTCGAATATCTAAATATATTATTACATTTATGGAGGTACGCAATTGTATAAATAAATTTTCTCCTGTAAATGTTGAATTGTTATGACGAGCGATTCAACGATTAATTTTGTTGTCAGGGCGACGGTGAGGAGGTAATGCGTGAAACTACTAGTACAACGTACGAATTGGTAGATCTCGTGCCTTATACGGAATACAGTATTAGAGTTCAAGCGGTTAACGAAAATGGTCCAGGCGCGTTTAGCAAAGATATCGTAATTCGGACTCACAGCGCACAACCCACGCAACCACCGCATAATGTTACATTAGAAGCAGCTAGTTCAACGGTACGTACTTCGTCAAGAGGAAGATCTGCTTCTGAAGAGTATTCTCCGAATTCATAATACTCTCCATAAAAGAAGGAGGGCGTACTAGGTGGCGGCGGGACGCCGTGCGTTCGAGATCTGCGTATCTTTTCGTTCCAGAGAGAGAAAAATATCGAGAGCACGGTTTTGCTAAGCCGGGACTCGAACCTGGAACCTTTTGCTTGCCGGGCGACTGCTCTAAACCACTGAGCTACCTGACGCTCCACGCCTACGACGCTCTCCTCTCCCTAGATAACGCTCAGAGATGCCGTTCGGAAGCGACATCTCTGGCGCGATCCCGAACGCACGGCGACTACAGAGAGAAACAATGTTACTGTACCAAATGGTACAGCTCTGTCAGTCTCTCAAAGTCAAAGGTTGCTATCCTTTAAGACCTGCTGTCCATGTATGCCCGTCTCCACCGTTGCCCCTCCTCATCCGGTGCAAATAATACAAATAAGCCCCGGGGTGCTTGGACGCAATGCGCCATGGGGGATCCACCATAGAAGAAGGAAGGCATACTATTCGATATAAAATTTGGATGTATATCTTTCAGAGTATTATTGTAAGATGGGAGCCTCCGCTTGAGGGACAGAACGGGATTATCACGGGTTACCGGATCCGTTATCGCAGATATCCGCATGATCGACGAACCCCGATTACGGTGACGACCGAAGGAAACCAACGTTTACACGTACTCAATGGGCTCGAGAAGCACGTGGTGTATCAGGTTCGCATATGTGCCTTCAATGTCAATGGGACTGGGCCTTGGACCGAATGGACGAAGATAGAAACATATGAGAACGACTTAGACGAGACGAAAGTACCCAACGCACCCAGTAATCTGAAAGGTGAGAAATCTCTGTCACGATGTGTAAGAGATACTCTTGAATGATATCTCTCATAAAACGTCTCTGTTATCACTTGCAGCGAATGCTGTGGGAGATTCTATATTGGTGACGTGGCATCCGCCGAAAGATCAAAGTATAAAAGTAAGGAAGTATAAATTAGGTTGGGGCAAAGGGTACCCCGACGTTGAGATACAAGTTCTTGACGGAAAGCAACGTTCTTTTGCTATCAAACCCATAGGTAAAAAGTATATTCTACTTTTAGTATGAGACGAGAAATAAAGAAAAAACGTTCAGATTTTATCCTCTGTCTCTTTTCTGTCGTGGTTTAGAACCGACAACGGAGTACGTAATATCACTGAGAGCAACGAATAATATCGGCGACGGTGAGCCAGCGTACGCGAATGTAAGAACTCCCGAACGTTTCGTATCTGAATCTGCAGTGCCTTTAATACCACCCGTTGGCCTTAAAGCTATTGTACTCTCGGCCACTACCGTTGTATTATATTGGACCGACACGACTTTATCGAAGAGCCAAGTACGTTTATTTGCGTCTATTTCGTTCTATTACGAGACTTCGCAGGGTGATGCGCACGAAGTAAAATGTCAAGCAGAAAAATCTATAACCAGCAACACTTATTTTTAGTATGTCACCGATAACCGGTATTACATGGTGCGTTATATGCCCTACCATCACAGTACCAATCCTAGATACAAGTACTACAACGCCACCGACTTGAACTGTATGATTCATGACTTGAAACCCAACACGCAGTACGAATTCACAGTCAAACTGGTGAAGGTGTGGAAAATGAATGGATTATACACTGATTAACACGTCGAGAAGTGTAAATGCGCTACAGAGCTAATCATCTTCGCAGGGTAAACGCAGCTCTCCGTGGAGTATGGTCGTTCTGAATCAGACCCAAGAAGCCGCGCCCGCTGCTGCACCCCGAGATCTGACTATTCAAACTAAAGAGGATCGTCCAACCTCCGTTCACTTGCGATGGCAACCTCCCAAGCAACCTAACGGATTAATCACAGGTTAGTGCGATTGTTCTAAAATCGTTGAAACTTGGAGAGATATGTCTGACGAGTATATTTTGGTTTTCAGGATACCTCATCATTTACTCCACCGACAACAAAAAATGGGATCGTGATTGGCAGGTCGAGGCTGTTATCGGCGACAAGTTAGACACCGTCATAAAGGTTCTGCAACCTAATACAATGTACTATTTCAAGATCCAAGCCCGCAACTCTAAGGGATACGGACCGTTCTGCTCGGAAGTGTCGTTTAAAACGCCACAAAGTAAATAATCGGATTTTTATTTGATATTTATCATCATTGTTGATTGTGGGAAATTTATTGTTTTTATACGATATGTACTTTCTCTTTATATATATACATATACAGTGCAATGCCTGTATTAATCTGATTGTACATACGCGAAATGTATAATACTATTTGTATATATGTTATTTTTATGCTTGATGCATTTTGCAGTTTGTTGTTTGTTCATGAACTGTTGTGTTAATTATTGTGTTTATTTTTATCCCTATGGTAGGCAATGGCATGGATATCTATGATGAATTGCATGGTCGAGGTAAGACATCAGACTCTGTCCTTTCATTGGAATTATGCATGTTTCCAAGCATGTCCTGTTGCATTGTAAAAAAGAATTTTAACACTATCTCCCCTCTTCTTTTAAATATGTAACAAATTACAATTCTTCACACATCTTTATAAACGTTATCTTTATAAGAAATAACAAGTGTGTGCGTGTGTGTGTGTGTGTGATATTTGAATATCTTGAGAAAATAATTTAAGAGATATAATTCTAAAATATAATTTTATTTTCATTTCCACTTTTTTTCCAGATGGACGTGGTCTCTCAAATATATTGATTTACATCATAGTGGGTTGCTCTGTCGTTTTTACCACTGGTATAGCGGTAGTGGTCGTTGTGATGTGTTGCAAACGTAATCCGAACTCGCCGGATCGAAAAAAAGGGTACAATTATTCATTTGTATAGTCGTTAAGCACTCTCAATCATAGTACAATTGTAATGACGTCAATAATATTTTTTCCCACCTACAGATACATGAAAGACTCGAATCAGAAGACGAATATCAAACCTCCGGACTTGTGGATTCATCACGATCAAATGGAACTCAAGGCGCTTGAGAAGTCGTCGTTGAACGGTGAAGCGTCGACCAGCGGTGTCACCAGTAATACATTACCCAGATCGGGCAATTCGGAGTATAATCAGGATAACGTGCACGGCAACTCCAGTTCGCTGGACAAGCGTACTTACGTGCCAAGTTACATGGGTAAGTCGCGCGATATCACGGCAAAGTGAACACCTCGTCGCACTGTCACAGATCAAACACTATCGCTCCCTGAGATACACTCGAGCAAAACTAATAGCAATCTGTTTTGTTAATTTGCTTAAGCGACAACGTACGTGACTTCTCTGTCGCGCACAGTTTGGTAATTTTCCCCTGATATTAGTATTTCAGTTGCTACACAGTGCACGTAGAAAGAAAGAGAAAGGGAGACAACTCATGCGTTTCAGTTTTGCAGTTTACCCGCTTTTGTTATTTGGTTGCTTCTTATCAATGTCTCATTAGGTAACACTGACGAGAAGTGCTCGACCCTGAGCAGGCAACACAGTCGTGGAAGTCACAAACCTAAACTTATTTCACTTCCCGTTGACAGTGCACCTTTACATCAACGTAAGTAGCAGTGAGGTTGCCAGTCACAGTACTTGTAGCCACATGTATATACACGCTTTCATGCTGAGCACTTTTACGAACCATTTTGATTATTCCGCAGCGATACTCTCACACGAACAATAGACGGCACACCATCGATTATTCGCAGTCGTTGTTTTAATGTAGGTATCAGAGTGTTTAAACTTATTGCAGCTATAGCTACTGCTACCCCAATCGTCAATACCAGCATGTCGCAGCCGACTATTCACAGTTCGTGCAGCGACACGTCGTCGGTCAGGCAGAACTATCCACGATCAGTCGCGCAGTATAGTTTGAGCCGGGCGCACGTCACGCTGGAACCCACGCCGGAATCGAGTCCAGATTCCTGCAACATGCCGAATTCGTACGAGCCATTGCAGAGCCAGGTGAGATTCATACAATCCTTACTAATAACTTCCAATAAAGAGCCAAGGTTCATTGAAGAAAAAAATCGAGAAATCTAAACGAACTTCTTGTGACTGTTTTGTTATTGTAGGAAAAGTGGCAAGGATAATATATTATTTTCTCTCTCGCTTCGCAGTTATCATATGGTACCAGCAGTCAGTCATACAGCGGAAACACTCAATATGGCCCCGGTCATTATGGTAATAGCAATCAGCCAATGAGCAACACCGTCGGTGTGGAAAGCAACAGCAGCAAGCGATTGCAAGGGCATCCACTTAAGAGCTTCAGCGTGCCGGCGCCGCCGCCGCAGAGCGCCCCTTCCACACCAGCGCAACAGAAGCACGGTGGTTGGTGTCGTTGCTCATTATTCCTACACTTTGGTCCATATTCTGAATTCTCTTTTACCTATAAAAGTGTCTCTAAAAGAGGCTTAGGAGTCACCTGATTGGCTGAGAAGCTACATTTAAGGCACTTTCATCGATAAAAAAGGATTCAGAATAACTGAACTTCTCCCATTATCGCCTGTTTCTCCTAATTGCAGTGTCGCAAGTGACGGTGAGGCCAACGATGTCGGGGAGTCCGTACAAGAAGCCGCAGAGCTCGTCGTCGCAATTAGCAAAGAATCGCTTAGCTTCCGTGTCAAATCCGGCACACACTTCGGAGGAAGTAGAACGGTTAAAGGTAACCATCATTCCCGACTATATTTTGTACTTGTTTGTATGTCCTCATGCAATTTATGGTCATCATATAATATCGATTTGACTCACTTGCTTCATAGGATTGCTAATGAAGTCTTACTGCATTTACAGCCTTCGTATAGCACTGAAGAATTGAATCAAGAAATGGCCAACTTGGAGGGTCTAATGAAAGATCTGAATGCCATAACAGCATCGGAATTCGAATGCTAAAGTAGGTTCCTAAACCGTGTGCCATCCTAACTGATGGATAGACTGCAAACGCCACATTCTCAATGTTAGTACCCGAGAGGTAAATCAATTACGACGCTTTGGCTATTTGTACTGAGTTTCTGCCTCTCGTATCCAATACGATTATCATTGCTGTTACACCAGGAAACCGATGTCGCGCGAGTTAATTAGCGCCGATGAACGGCGCAATTGACGAGTGGTCCGAAATCGACTCGAAATCTGACGGTATTGCGATTGGAATCGCGCGTATGACGATTGGCGGTGGCTCGTCGGATCACTCTGGGTCCGACTGACGTTTCCTCTCTCTCCGGTACTAGCGTTGCTTATTTCGAGCGCGAGACTCAAAGCTATATACACTTGCCAATATATTCCGACAGCCGATGTCGCACGTTCTCGCAACGTATTTTTGATAACGCGAGCGCGCGTGAGTTATTACCGCGTTGCAGTCGCGCGTGACAGAGCTCGATGTGCGCACGACGTTGTAGAAATGTTTGCAGTGTGCAGTCGCGTGTGTGTGTGTGTGAGTGTGCTGGGCGCGATACAACACTGATCGGGACGCGAATCGACCGACACTGACTGATCGCGGCATGTTTCTACGATGTGTGAGAGTCAATTTGCACTTGACTTCAGTACGGTTCGGACACTTTTTCTCCATTTCCTCGATCAGTTTGGAACGTGGCCAATAATCCACTGGAAGAACTTGATTAAAGTTCCGTTTGGGACGTCGTTGCGTGCGGACGTGCCCACTGAGCAGTGTATAGGAGCGATAGTTTGAGTTATTTGGGTTAGATAGGGCTTAGTTAGGGGTTCAAAGAAAAGACGGAAGAAGAGGACAGTGTGCTGAATGATCACAAATATCTTCGGGGAAGATCGAAGCACGGTACTCTAAGCACCAAACTCAAAAAAGAAAAGGAAGAACATGATTCTCGAGAATTGAGTGTCCAAACCGTATCGAACCAAATGTACAATAATCATAGTCGAGCCAGGCGCGAATAAAAAAAAACGTAACATTCTTCTTCAACATTTGCATGAAAGTCCAAGGTGGCTTGACTCGTTCAACGGCACCCTTTAATAATTGTGCTTACGTGCGTTCGACGAGTGCAGCAGTCTTGCCTAAACGAAGAAGAGGAAGAAGCGAAAGAGGAGGAGGAGGAGCAAATTCGTACTGTGTGCTGCGCGTACTGTTGTGTAGTCCCAGCGAAAAGCTCATGCGTCGCTATCTCGTTGCTAACTCGTAATTCATATTTGTATAATCATATTCTTCATCGTTGCTAATGATTGCCATATTTACGCTTAAAAAAGATGAAGCGCGCGTGAGCCGTTCGGTCGAGTAGTGAATTTTTACGGTCCAAGGTGGAGGGCGGCGAATGAATATACATATTTGTTCTATTTTTGTATCTATTGAAAATCGGTTCGAGCGAGCGGAATGCTTTGTTGCATGTTCTCTCTCGCGTTTTGGAGTTTCGAGACGCGTCCGTTTCCACTCTCCATGATATTACGTTGCTCGAAAGAGAGTAAATTCTGTATTCTCGTCGAGATATCTCGCACAAATATTGATTGCTCGTTCGACGCAAGTGGGATATCCTGTTTTTACGCTTTTTAAGGACCGTAAAGTTTTCGTGGCTTAATTCGGACGGCCTTAATGAGACGTTTCACGTTAAGTTGTCTTGAACTCAATAACCTTGGCAGCTCGCATTTGAAGATGGTTTCGTGCGCGTGTCCTTCGTTGTAGCGACCATCTAGTATTACGATCTCATTGGGAAAAAAAAAATATTATTTTAGAGTTAACGCGAAATAATCGAGTATATATGGGTATTACGATAGGCTGTTTAGTGTAACGGAGTCAACGATCAACTTACTTTGTAGATCGGTCGCGAAACTCGATAATGCGAAATTTGGTTATTTCGCGGGATTTAGCGACGCGATCGGTTCCGGCCGATCTACCGCTGTTTCTACATAGCTGATCTATTTTATCGTAACAGTAAAGATTGCGTTATCGGCAAGTGCGGTCAATTTAAATGAAATAAATTTTATTCTTTCCATACGAGTCGCGCTCTCGCGAGCTGAAGTATTATTGATAAAAGTTGTATACAAATATTTTTAGTGGGATATATACATACTTTGTATGGATTTGTATTTTACTTACGTCGGGTACACGATCACGAGAGAGAGAGAGAGAGAGAGAGAGAGAGAGAGAGAAGAAGGGGGAAAGAGAGAGATAGAGAGAATGTGTGTGTGTGTGTGCGCGCGCGTGCGAGAGAGAAAGGCGCTGTGAGAAAGAGAGAACAATTCTTAGAAAGAAATTTTATAAACGTAACGCAATGCTCAATTTACTGCTATCGGGAATCGTCGAGATATACGCATATATCCAATATTTCTATCCAAACATTTTATATAAAACCATTTACTGCCACGATAATGCATATCCGTCAAAGTACATACATACACACGTTTCCTTCCAATGCTGAAGACTCTTGTTCGACGAAGCATTAGCGCGTGAGACGCGAGGAAATGCATTTTTCGCGCGTATTTCAATTCAGATCAATATAACATGTAACGATCGTCGCGAGGTAAAAGTATGCTTGTAGAATTTCGAATTGTACTCAATCACCTTTTGGGATACTTTTGTATTTTCGTAGCTATTGTGAAGTATTGTACAAAAGTCTTGTATATTAAGGATGTTGCGCGGTGTGCGAGTTGACCAGAGCTTGAGCGAGACAAATCGAGTCTCTGGCGGCTCTGCTGAGCGTCAGAACGATTTAGAAAGCCGTGACGCGTGTGTAGCGAGTCTACGATCGACGATGATCGACGGCGGTTCACAACTCTCGTGTTTGTCTCACTCGAGTCCCGAGCAACTCGCGCACCGATCGTGTAGCACGTATTTCCGCAGCACTGCGAAGTAAAAAGTGATACTCTTCTGTTTTTTTTTTATTACCACAAACGCTGCCAAATTGTAAGGAATTTTCGCAGATCGAAAGTCTCCGAGAGAAGATTCTCAAAGACTTCTCATGTCTTTGGGAGAAATCTTCGGAAGGAGCCGGGAAAACAATTTTTTGTACCATAATTCGGAGTATTGCGTATTACTTGCCAGTGATAGATAATAGATAATATATACCGCCCAATATAACAGATTTATATACAGAGGATGAATGGGTCCTTTCGTTGTCAGCTCAACTCGATGAGAACACCGCGAGGATGACTCCGTGTTCGATTTGTACGGACTTTGTTCGTCGAGTGACGCGACATTATTATTGTTTTGTAAGTTTACTTTATAAAGAGAATGCGTTTATTTATGTATATGTGTGAGCGCACGATATGTAATTTTTTGTTTTCTTTTTTTTTTTTTTAACACGCCAACGCTTTGCGCCACATCATTGTTTTTATGTTGACAGTTTCTAACTTTGCGCAGGCTTTTACAATAGAGAGAGGATGAGGAAATGGAGAGATTGAGAGAGAGAAAGAGGAATACATGTGAGCTATACCGATAAAGAGAACAGCTTGTACATTAAGAGTATATACATACGTATATAAATATATGAAAGTTGTATCTATTGCGCTGTTGGAAAAAGCGACAGGTACTTTTAATTAAAAGACAGGCCTATGGAAGGCCTGTGAAAATATTTTACCACAAAAGTATAATTAGCGTATATATAGTTATATATATAGCATATATACATTTATCTATATATAATTGATATTATTTATTGATTTCTACGATGGGTCTGTTTCAATGCGCGGAATTGCATTTTCGTGGGTCACTGTGCCTACTCTATTCTTGCTTCTCCCGTTGACCCGTCGATTGGCGTGCGATTGGCGGTTAATCTCAGGACCGTCAATCTTGTAAGACGTGCGGTACTTTTCTTATTTATAGAACTAGTTCTGTTCGTATTATTTCTATAGAATATTATGTTTCTATATCCACGCTATATCAACGCATTTATATTATTATAGCTGCAACGATAGAAAATTGACTTCTCAATAAGAAGCTTTTCACAAATTAAGGACTGCCAATGACACGCTCGATGGTGAGCAGGAGAGCCAAGGAGAAGAAAGTAGGTGTAGACCTCGAGAATCTCCTGAAAAAGTGAGTAATTCTGAGCACTGGTCTATCCGATATATAACAGATATGTAAATGCGAAAACGTTAAGAGGCTGGTTTGCATTCGACCGTCATTGTTGACGTGACAAGTTTTTATTCTCATTGTTCATCAACGAATCCATCATCCGCATTAGCGTTTAAATTAATATATAAATAAATTATTTAGTATTAGCATTTAAATTTTCGACGGTATAATTGCGATGAAACAAAATGACCGGCTTATCGATGTACATAAATGAAAGAAACAGACATCGCAACTTTATAAGATGATTGAGTATTTATATACATACATATATATACATATACATAGCGCCATTATTGAATATAATTCTTATATTTGTACGATATACGAGAGACATAAGGAAGCCCGCCCCGAGACGAAACATTCATAACAAGTGTGTGATAATATTTGTAAAACTTGATATTCAATAAACAATTTTATGTTCTTTATAAAAGAAGCGTCGGAACTCTGCCTGTCGCGCCATATCGAAATAAAAAAAGTTACTTGATTCTTCGTAGCGATTTGAACAGGTCAAAAAAAATGTATGGTAATGTTAGAGATTCGAATCAAGGCGCGAACCTTTTGACGAGCGGGTGCCGCTCGACACCGCTAGATGGCGCCAGGCGTTCGAGTTTTTCTCCCGTGACGTCAACAGATGACAGCAGGTAAGCCGCTCGCGGATCCGCCATTGTTCCAGTCTACCTCCTACCGCCTTCAGTTGCGCACGAGACCTGTCAGTCCCTAATAGATAGCGCCAGTATTCCGGTCCTCGGCGGCTTCGAGGGAAGCGAGAAAAAAAGGAAAACAAAGGACAACAATACGCGCGCGACCGAGTGCGGTGGAAAGTGGTGAAATGGTGAAGTTGGTGTGGTGTCGGTGTACGCGGAGTGAGGTGAGTAACACAATGTTAACCGCGGAACTAACCGCGCGATTACCGTTCTCGGGAAAGGTTCGAGGAACGGGACGATCGTGGGTCATGTCGTGACGCGTGCCGTGGTCCCTTTTTTCCGACGGCGATGATGTCCGAACAGAGACTCAGCTCGTGCCAGGTTTTTCGCACGTAGCAGTAGGTGTCTCTCTCTCTCTCTCTCTCTTTCTCTCTCTCTCTCTCTCTCTCTAATTCTCTTTCTCTCTTTTTCACGATTTCTATCTGCCGACATTCATCCGAGCTCAACGAAACGCACGATCGCCCCTTCCGAACGACTCACGAGATCAGTGCTTGTCGCGTGCGTGCGTGTATGTGCGTGTCTCGGCGCATCAGTATCGACAGGTGTATCATAACCTCTTCTTCTCTCGGACTCTCCGTCGGGACCAACATAATTCTACGAATTGTCTCGCGACGCGCGCACACACTCACGCAGATGTACCTCGGGCCGAGGCTGTGGCAGGTGTACGTGTACGTGTGTATATGCAAGCACGCGCACGCACATACGAACTCGTGCGAGCGCGGCGAAGTGATTCGAATGAAAACGCACGAGCCGCTTGTGACTCAAACGATTCTTTTTCGGCTACGATCAATCCACTTGTTTATCATTCTTGTTCTTGTATTCGAAACCACGGAAACGTCGCTCGAGGTTCGTTTATCTTGACCGCCTTTTCTTCCGCTTCGCACGCGCGCGAGCGAGCGCACGTACACATTCGCCGTGAAAATCATGACTTTTGTGGAGCAAAAACGAGAAGCTCGCGAATTGGTGCGCAAAGCACAGCTAAATTAAGGGAAGTTGTATTTTATTCGAAAATATTTGTGATTATTGTGTTATTCGGTAGTTTTTGTGTGGAATTTTGAATCATTTTATTTTTTCGCGACACTGAATTATGAATTGATCGCCGTGAAAATCATGACTTTTGTGAAGCAAAAATGAAAAGTTCGTAAAATGGTACGCAAAGCACAGCTAAATTAAGAGAAGTTGCATTTTTTCCGAAAAGATTTGTGATCACTGTGTTATTCGGGAGTTTTTGCGTGGAATTTTGAATCATTTTATTTTTTCGCGACATTGAATTATGAATTGATCGCCGTGAAAATCATGACTTTTGTGAAGCAAAAATGAAAAGTTCGTAAAATGGTACGCAAAGCACAGCTAAATTAAGAGAAGTTGCATTTTTTCCGAAAAGATTTGTGATCACTGTGTTATTCGGGAGTTTTTGCGTGGAATTTTGAATCATTTTATTTTTTCGCGACATTGAATTATGAATTGATCGCCGTGAAAATCATGACTTTTGTGAAGCAAAAATGAAAAGCTCGTAAAATGGTGCGCAAAGCGCAGCTAAATTAAGGGAAGTTGTATTTTATTCGAAAATATTTGTGATCATTGTGTTATTCGGGAGTTTTTGCATGGAATTTTGAATTATCATTTTATTTTTTCGCGACACTGAATTATGAATTGATCGCCGTGAAAATCATGACTTTTGTGGAGCAAAAACGAGAAGCTTGCAAAATGGTGCGCAAAGCGCAGCTAAATTAAGGGAAGTTGTATTTTTTCCGAGAAGATTTGTGATCACTGTGTTATTCGGGAATTTTTGCGTGGAATTTTGAATGCATCATTTTATTTTTTCGCGACACTAAATTGTGAATTAATCGGTCGCGATTTTTTCAAGTATTCGGCAAGTAACGAGAAGAAAGTGAATCGAATCGTTCAGGAGTTGGTCACGTAATTTCATGTAAAACTTTTCACTCTGTTTATTTCCGACTCTATCCACTTTGCGTGAACTTTTTCATTATTTACACGATTACGTAACTTTGCTGTGTAAAAAATACAAATCACTAAGCATGGTTAGGTTAGGGATTAAAATAAATTACTAGCATTATAATCCGCAACAGCTTTGCGATTTTAAGCTGTTTAGAGGAGGTTAAATACCAAAAATATAGTGCGAATACATATGCCAAAGATAAATGTCACAGAAGACCAAAAATAAATGCTATTATATTATATACAAAGTAAATCCGAGAGAATATTGTAAAAATTACAATGAAATTTTAGTACTTCGAGAATAGATTATGAAAATTATAATAAGACATAGTAGAAGTAA